CCTCGCTTACTGCCGACTCTGTCGGCCTCGTCCAGGGCGCCTGAAAACGGCCCTGGGCCTCTTTGAGCCTCTGGCGTGGCCTGGGCCTGGGGTGCAGGCCAAGCAACCCTGCCTCTGATCCTGGAGGCGGGGCCGGGGGGGGCGTGTCTGAGCGGCCACCCTTTGCTTACCCTCGCTTACTGCCGACTCTGTCGGCCTCGTCCAGGGCGCCTGAAAACGGCCCTGGGCCTCTTTGAGCCTCTGGCGTGGCCTGGGCCTGGGGTGCAGGCCAAGCAACCCTGCCTCTGATCCTGGAGGCGGGTCCAGGAGGCTGCGTGGTGGGCGCGGGAACACGAGATGGCGGTGGTGTCCCTCAGACACCCGGAGCCGATCCTCCCCGCGAGGCTGTGAGGCTGTGTCGGGGCTTAGTGTAGATTCCCAGTCGCCCCGATGTCGCTTCCACCACACGTGATGGAGAAGGATCTTGGTTTTGTCCCCTGTTAATGGCGGTGCTTTGAGTCACCCCACTTCCTGTTTCTGACCGGGGGCAACCTGGAAGGGTTACGGTGGACACTGAATGTGGGGGCCAGCCGAGGGCTTGGGCACCCGGTAGGAATCTAGGAAACTCCCTTTCCTCCCGATGAGCTGGGCGCTGAAACGTTAGGGAGAAGTTGCTGGCGTTTTCTTGGACATTCAGGCACGGGGGCTCGTATGCACGTGAAGAAGTAGCTCCCGTTGTGTAGGCTGGGGCGTGGCTCTAAGGTGTGATCTGCACAGCAGAGGGCGCTGTAGGTACAGACGTGCGTTTGAAGCTGTGAAGGTGAAAGGCGTGAAAAGGGAAGCTCACTGAGGGGCCGCTGGTTCTAGTCACCCGAAGAGAAATGCAATAATAATCTGAAGACCTGTTTGTTCTTCCAGCTTATGGGAACTAAAGAAGAGTTTGTTAAAGTCCGGAAGAAGGATCTGGAACGGCTGACGACTGAAGTGATGCAAATACGGGACTTCCTACCCAGGATACTAAATGGGGAAGTACTGGAAAGCTTCCAGAAATTAAAGGTTGTAGAAAAAAGTGAGTCTTGCTTCCTCTCCAGCAGGCGTTGTTGGTGACAGCAGTCTGGTCCAGCATGCTTACCTTACTTACATAGATAGCAGTAAAATAATTGTAAATAAACCTCAAGGTACCGTTCTAGTTCTTCATTACATTTGGGAGAGTCAGAGAAGACAAAGTTAGAAAGGGAGGGGCTCGAATGAGTGACTGGGACCTGTGTTGTTTGTGTTGGAGGAAGGGTTGCTAGCTCTCTGAAGTAGCTATTACCAGCTTCTCTTTTTCTCCACCTCCTTCCTTGGCAGAAGAATTATATATATATATATATTTTTTTTTTGAAATATATTTTATTGATATTTTTATAGAGAAGAAGGGTGAGGGATAGAGAGTTAGAAACATCAATGAGAGAGAAACATCGATCAGCTGCCTCCCTCAAACCCTCACCTGGGGATGCAAGGTACATGCCCTTGACCAGAATCCAACCTGGGACCCTTCAGTCTGCAGGCCAACGCTCTATCCACTGAG